CAATAGGCCCCCCATTTCCTGGGCGCCATGTGGATAGGGTAGAGTCCTCCTCGGATTCGTCTCCCCTCCTCCGTCTCGACAATCCTCGCCGGAGGTCGTCCAGGACTAAAGGTCTTGCCTTCCTGGAATGGTTGTTAGGAGGGTGCTCATTGGCTCTCGGTCACTTTAGGGCCCTGGAGCTTTCTGCCTTGTTGTTTAGATGATTCCTTAGATCCTTCGTTTTCGCCTCTCGGGCAGGAAGCCCACGAGAAAGGAATGAATCCCTCGATCCTTCGTCGGAGGCGGCGAATTCGTTGAGTTGGCTTAGGATGTTTATATTGTCCTTTTCCAGCTGTCGTAATCTATCGCCAAACTTTTCTTCAATAACCTCCGCCAGCTGACGAGCCAAGGGGGCTGATCCTCCTGACCTGATTCCCATACTGGTTTGAGGGGTAACCCCTCTTGACTGAGTAGAGACATTTTTATTCCCATCAGTGTGATCCCTCCCTCTATGGTGACATGGAGCTTGTAATTCGAGACTTCTTTGTTGGGGACCTTTCCCTTTTTGTCGAGTATTCACCATGGTCACTGTTCTTTATAGAGAAAAACTAGGAAAACTAGTCGTTTTTCACAAACGGCACCAAATTGTGCGTGCTGGATCTTGCACAATATAAACACGAGAACAGATCTCTCTCTTGGTGAACTCGAGTGAGTCAGTCGAATGATCAACCCTGCTGCTTGGAACAGCCTACGAGGTCCGGTGGTAACCTGGAACGGTAATAGGAGACCCTCGTGGATCAACGGAACGATCTAGTAAGGCTAAGGAAGATTCCTAGAACAAAGAAAGACAAGTTATAAGGGCGCCAGAGTATTTTTCGGCGTATCCCCTCCGACGGTCAAGTCAGTTTTTGAGAGAGAGGAAGAAGAAAACACTGAGTATGTATTTTAGTACAGGTTTTTTTGTTGCATCCCACCTTGCCTTTTGCGAGGAGTATTTATACCTCAAATACTCATGATTGCTGTCAGTGTGGTCAGTAGGTGATCATTAGATACAGGCAACGTGCGCACTGATTCCTACGAGGAATGTCTTCTCTTTTAACTGCTTGGTATCCCGAGCAACCAGTGCTGTGTCATCGGGCTGCCGAATGTTCAATGAGCTCCTCTCGGGGAGGATGCAATAAATGTCCAGCCTTAGAGACATTTATTATTTTTCACTTCCGAGCCTTACCGCATTGAATGCAGTCTCATCAAGGGAATTGTGTAATTAAATATTTGCTTTTCCAAGTCGTGTGTCAGCAAGGGCATGCAGTCTTTCTATCTTTGATGTGACACAATATGCCACGCGTCCATTCCCCATTGGCTGTGGCCCCTGCCTTCCTGTGCCTTCTAACACCAATGTGTAAGACGAGGTCATGATAGCTAACCTAGCCTAGCCTAGACTAATGACCTGTACATCAGTAGCTCTGCAGGAGAAGAGAATGTCATCCTGGACGTTGGTACATATCGGCACCGAGGGGGTTTGGTACATCTCGGAGTCGAGAGGGAATGTGCATATAGCGACCGATGTACCATATCAGACCGAGAGATACGTGTCGGTACGTAAACATACTGGATGCCACTTGATCCCTATGACAAGTATCTCGTGGGAGAGGGACTTGTGAACCGATGGGTACGTCATCTCAATAACAAGGATTAGTGACACCTGATGACACGTGTCTTCATCTTAGAGTATTTCGAAAATATCTCATCAATAAATATTGATAAGATGCTAATTTCGGTACCGTAGTGTTACTCCATCTAAATAAAGGGTATTTTTTTTTTCGCTTGTAATTCTAATAGGTCATTAAGAAATGTCCATGTCGTATTGAATTGAATATAAGAGCAATCAAGACACCTATTTTTCTCCGTCTATTTTCTCTACACTCTACCAATCAATCCATAACAGTTGTCTATAATTACTTCTAAAATCAATGGACAACTACTTTATTTTTTAAAAAATTTAAGTTAATAAAAAAATTATAATTGATCATGTATTCCTCCAATAATATTATTTTAGGTAGCACCATAGATTCTTTAAAATCAAAGGCCACCTCGTATAATAAATAATACCCAAAAATTGTGAGGTCATATTTCAAACATAAGCAAACATCATAGATTGATTAAGTACCACATAGATTAGGGTAGTTCTATGATACTGAAGTACAAAAAGATAATATTTTTGTGATCCATCATAATTTTTTTTTTAAAAAAACTATAATTTTATATTTATTAAGTACCAGTAATGCACGATGTGCAACACGTGAGAGAGTTGAATGAACAATGGATAGGGTAGTCGTTAAGAAATGTCCACAACAACCTCAGCTAAAATCAACGTCCACGTAGCATTGAAGAAGACCCATCAATTCAGTTACTCATATTTGAGGCAATGTCTCAAAGGTCAGCATTTAATAATTGTTGGTACTAATACTATCACACTTGCCGAGAAGTTTATTTATTTTTTTTTTTAAGTGAAATCACACCATGTTAACTGATATTATTAGCGGTGCCTGTAAAATTATTATTAAACGGATTGAAAGTATGCGTTGCCATATCACTTATCATGTAACATCATATCATATGATGGAGAGGGTGAACAATCTTGCAACCCATGTGAAAGGGTTGGCTCCACGGTCGAGAAGGTCCTTCAGAATAATGTTCATAACTTCATTTAAAAGCAAAGTCCCCGTCGTATTGAATAAGACCCACCAATGCAATTACTCATTGAGAGGAAATATCCCGAGGAGAAGACAAATGTGAGCATTCAATAATTATTCACAATAATTGTAGGTTAAAGACTCATGACTTCTCTTATAAACAACTCAATAACACCCCTGGTTCGATTGAGATCAATGTTTTATATCATTTTTGATAAAAATAAATTAATTATATACAAATGAGTACTTATAACTACAATGAATAAAAAAAAGTCAAAGATTATGATGATACCTAAAGCATGGTTAAGGTTAAGTTCAAACATTCAGCTCAGACCTTCCAAGCTTGGATCATTCAGCTCATCATAGATAACCAAGAGGTCCAGGTCGGCACCTCCTCCAAAATGTCAAAGATTCCCAAGGATGACAATTGGCTTCCATCCAAACGCTATGCATAAATCGTAACGGTCTTATATTTGGGCAAGGAAGTCGTAACCACTTCAACGCTATCCATGTCAATCATATAAAAAGCACAACCGTTACAAGAAAAAGCCAATGATCATGCAAAGTCTTAGAAGACTATAAATAAGAGGCATATCCCTCATAATGAAGGACAAGCAACTAGCCTAAGTAAATAGTCTGTGTAATCTTCCCCCCTTTTATCAATAAAATCATTCCAAGAGCAAGAGACTCCCTTAAGAGTGAATTATCAAAACTCTCAAACTAGTGAATCATTATAAACTCTCTATGTACAATTTCCCATCTCTTTTGTTCATGTCTTAAGAGCCTAGGAGCTCTGACTGATTCATTTAGTGACCCACTAATCCCTAAAGATCATAAGCTATGTTAAATTATTTTTCGTTGAATTTTTTGTGCAAGAATACGTAACTTTGCATAAGCATGAGCTATGATGCAGTACATGATTCTAATAAATCCCATCATTTTACTATGCAATCGGATAAAGTTTTTTACAAATGCTTAAATGTTGGTGTGGTTTTTTAAGAGAATTTGGATCCAGATTGACAAATCAACTACATTTAACTATTTCCTTGAATGATTGTTGGATCTATTACTATTATAAAGGGAGAGGAGGAAGTTGACGCATACAACTTATAATATTGCTTAATTAATTATTGAGAACTGTTTATTATATATCTCTTCGTAACTCTTCTAATCTCACACTTTTACAATTGTACATATAAAGTGATCATGTACAAAACACACTAGCAATTATACGTCGTTGTCCATTAAAATAGGAATCTATTGATATAATAAAATCAAATTTCACAAATAAGGTAAATGCCTAAAAACATTGTCCTTGAATTATGCAAAAGGGGTATTTAGGTAAAAGGAATATTTAAAAACACAGTCAATGTGTATCTAGATAGATGATATTTACAATTAAGAGTATTTATCTACAACAGAATTTTCGCTAGTATTTTGCCACAAATAAGTGGTTTATAGGGTATGTATCCACAATTTTTCAAAAAAAATTACCACAACATTTACTTGTTGGACACATAAGTTTGTATTTTTAGTTTTTTTTTTTTTTTGGGACAACTTCACAAGGTGCATAAATACACTATTTTATGCTACACAATATGGTACTGTCCTATGGTTCTTGGTGAACACTAAATATTTTCTCGTTTATACGTCACTTGCCTGTGCTGTTTACACTTCAAAATGGCATTCTTTTAATGAAATTATTCTTCTAAAATTTACCAAAAAAAAAGTACTATAAATTTTTATCTCTGGCAAAAGTAATGTTAAAATTATTAACATTTAGTTCTTAATAAGTTGTAAATTGTTTCCACTCCAGAAAAAATCTGGCTTTCCCAATACCTTCTGAGAAATAAAAGTGAACGATCTTCCTACCGAACATGTAAATGAAGTTCTTAATGCGAATTATGAAAAACTAAAATAACTTCAAAGCCTTTGAGACAATCATGGTATAAACCGACCAGGTAGTGGCGGCACTTAACCAGCAGCAGAGCTTTAATTATGTGACAATGCCACCAGAGCATTCACCTCCTCACACAACCCTGTGAAATAGAAGTCTCTAAAAAACAACTCCATTGCACATACTGCTGAAAAAAGTTGAAGCGTCTTCAGCTTTCCCCGGAATGTTTGTTATGATCTCTTTGCTTTGAAGATATATGATGTCATTTGAGGACTGGATGAGTTTACTCATGAGCAAGACATATGAAGAAATGTGGTGTGTGGTGCGAAAGCTGCATTGCTCAAAAGCAATTAGGTTCCTCAAGAGTAAATCCAGTGTTTCATCAATGCTAAAAGGCGGGATCACCACTACTCCTTTTCTGGTTGTTATGTCTAACAAACCACCTTGTGTACCATTTTCAAACTCAATTCCAGCTTCTGAAAGTTTGTCTCACAATGCCTAAATCTCCATGCTTTCTTGTCTCCAGGGCATTTTGGGGGAGACACAGCATTATTAGGAAGGTAAAATTTATGCAACATGCCCAGAAAATGCCTGTCGTCTTGGCAGAGTTCCTTGGAATCCGATGGATCCTTGTCTGTATTGGGCACTGGCTGAAAGAAATGCATAGCAAGCTCTGGTAGCGAACAAGAACATGCTGATGCTAGTGGATCAGTCCGCATACACGTCGACCTTACAATATCAAACAACCTCTGAAGAACAACAAATGGAATTTGGTTCTCAAGTAGAGCCAAATCACATCGAATGGCTGGCACCATCCAAGCATTGCTCGTAATGGGATCGTCCTCGTCCTTGAAATTCTTATCCCAGCACCTCAGAAGAAGTTCAAGAATGAAGCAACCATCAACTAGCAGTATTTCCAGGAATGATGCTTCAGCCTCTTTGTTACAGTTGGTATGTTGATCAGCATAGTATTTCTGAGTACTTTCTTCTGATTCGGAGTTGGCAAACTCATTCGAGTTTTTTCTCGGGTTCAACTGTTGATGAGGGAGGCTTGGCATACACCGCCAATTCTGTTGGTCCATTGCTAGCAGGCCACTCCGGCTATGATGAAAAGGTCCGATATTCTCAGCATAGTATCTGCGAGCATCTTGTTCCAAAACTTGGAGAGCTTCGGCACACTTTTTTAATGTCGGTTTTGCATCAGTTGTACGTTGAAGGAAGCTTAGCATATACCGCCACTTGTGCTCTTCCATAGCGTGTAGGTCACTCCTGCCATGGTGAAAAGGTCCGATGGAAACCGTGGATGGGGTTTACGCGTGTTCCCCGAGTCGTCTAAGCTTGGTGGGAACCTTATAAATACTTAAGTAGGTGCTTCGATTTTCTTGAATTACAGTAAGTCTGTTTTCAACCGATTCTATCCAGATCACATGTTCAGGGGGCAGCTGGTTTTGGTTTTGAGAGGCAAGATGCTACGTAAAGCGGGGCAATAGGTAAGGATCTTCTTGATGTCACCAATGATGTAGTCATCTGTGGTGCTGGGAGCAAAGTTGATGCGCGCACAGTAATCTCCTTTGAATAGGTATGCCTCATCAGTCCTGTGCGAAGCAAATGTGGCATCAATTCCACTTTCAAAGATGGTGTTTTTCAAACTAGGAAAGCGTTGATTGATGAGATAGATGGCGATGAGGTGGGAATCATAATCGTAGTTTATAAGAGCACACTGATCGCCTTTGAAGAGGTAAGCTTCATATTTTTCAGTTGACTCAAACGCGGCGTCTACGCCGCTTTCAAACACCTTCTTTGTGAAGAAGGGGAACATTGTAGTGATGGTCGTTGGGCCTTTAATTATCTTGTTATTTGCAATGTGTGGTGCGTAGTTAATCTGTGCACAGAAATTCTCAGAGAAAATGAATGCTTGATCCTTATGATGAGACCCAAAAGCACAATTTATTTCACGTTCTGCAAACGCTGTGCCCCTGAGGGATGGATACCTAGCGCCAATAAGAAGCGGTCCAAACAATACCTTGTTGTCTATTGTGTCTGGAGCATAGTTCACTAGCACATACTTGTTCTGCATGAATAGATAGACTTCATTTAAATGAGATGAACGAAATGCAGCATCTATGTACGACATTTTCTTCTCTCACTTGTACAATTAATTTAAAAGTGATATAAATCATTATGCTCATTAGTAATGATCACCAAAAAAATCCAAATGTTGTTTCTGATCATGACCAACTCAGACATGGTTAGTGTTAGACAAAAATAATAAGGTACTTGCACTGCATATGTTTTATTGGAATTAATCTTTCATATTACAAGGATATCATAAAAGCTAAACAAACATAATTGCAAATCCATCTATAGATTTTTAGAAATTAGTAGTCAGTACAAAGAAAACCTTAACACATGCTAAGAGAATGTTCTCAGAAAGTCCCTATTGATAATTAAGAACATAAACTAATACCATAATCTCAAAAAACGTAAGCATATTACAACCCTTTTTCTTTTTAACACAATAATATACTCTTGTTCACTGGAATTTGCATGTCACCACATATATATATATATACAGACTGCACCTAGTGTTTGGTCAAATAATATACCAAAACCATGCTATGATCTTGCATCAAATAACCAACATGATACAACTTCAACCCAGAGTCACCAACACAAGAGATTAAAACTAATATCAACAAGAGACAATAACATAAAACTACATCACCTTAATCGAAATAAAATCCAACAAACTTTGATAGATGATCGATGAGGAAATCTGAGGGACTAGGGGGAATATATAGTAGTTAAGCTTTAGCCAAACATCAACAAGAGACACTAACATAAAACTACATCACCTTAATTGAAATAAAACCCAACAAACTTTGATAGATGGTCGATGAGGAAATCTGAGGGACTAGGGGGTATATATAGTAGTTAAGCCTTAACCAATATTGCTAGCTTAAGGTGCATTTTTCTTCATGCATAATAAGTCCAAAACTGGTCCACCACAATCTCATCACTTGAGGTATATGTAACATATTTCACATCACATATGGTTCACAGCTGGAAGATTTGTTCTCTCTTATCTCCAAAGAGAATGAATTCTTTACGGTGAGCCAGTAAATAATTTCTTTAAAATTTGACAGTTACACAACTACATAAATCAATGTTAAGAAATCTCAATAAGTCTGTATAACTAATAAAATTTGATTGAATGTCTGTAAATAATTATTTATAGGCATGCCGGTAAGGAATTCTCATCTCCAAAATGAATTTGTTGAACATTTATGCCTTGGTTTTGTCCAAATTTTTTTTTTCGACTTAATCTGGCTTTGTTATGGGATTGACATAGGCCTCATTATTGGTTGGGACTTAAGGTTATTAAGAAATGTCAATTCATTTTCAAAAAAATATAAATATCGATACGAAACTACTTTCAGTACCGTAATGTGGAAGGGTAACATGCAACCCATCCGAATAAAGGGGTTTTTTTTTTTTTTTTGCTTGTAATTCGAATAGGTCATTAAGAAATGTCCATATCGTATTGAATATAAGAGCAATCAAGGCACCTATTTTTCTCTATTTATTTTCTTTCCACTCTTCCAATCAATCTATAATAGTAATAAATTAAATTAACCAAACATAAACACCACATTAATGAGGGTAGTTCTATGATACTGAAGTACAAAAATATAATATTTTTATAGTCAATTATAAATTTCTCGTAGTAGGTTATAATTTCATTTTTCTAAAATACTAGTACAAAAAATAAATTTAAATATTATTATTTTTATAAAAAATATGAATTATGTATAATTAAATTAAATAATAAATTAAGTGTTGAATAATTAATTTTAACTATTGAGTTATTTTATAAGTTTTTGAGTACCTATTTTTTTTTTATTTAGGTATTTCTTCGATCCTTTTAGACATTTGCACATCTAATTATATTATATAATTATTAATTTTTATTTTATTAAATAGATTGATTAGATGATTTATAATATTATTATATTATTGTATACCAAAAAAATAAAATATATCACATATTGGACCATAGAATTCAACATAATAAATTCATATATATAATAATTTAACCGTGAAATTCAACTTAGTAACTATATGTGTATAATAATTTAACATATATTGAAATAGATAATTGTATGTAACTATAATAGTAATAAATAAGTTCAAAATAATTTAGAAATCCTTACAAAAAATTCCAAAATAAATTGAAAGTCAAATAGATGTAAAAAACATAAATTAGAAGAAATTATATATATAATTGACTTTATTATAATAATTAGAGATAAAATAAGAAATAAAAAAAATTCTCAAATACTGACATTTTTAAAAATTATAAATAATTTAATTTTTAAAAACTATAATTTTTATAATCAGTCATAATATTTTAAGATTTATCAAATTTTTCCAGTTATAACTTATATCACAACATGTTATAATTCCACCTTAAAAATTTATAAATTTCAGTCGGTAAACTTGGTTCACAAATGTGCAACACGTGAGAGGGTTGGGTCAACAATGGACAGGGGTTATTAAGAAGTGTCCACAACAAGCTCAGCTAAAATCAACGTCCACGTCGCATTGATTAATATTATTTGAACCTAAAAATTTAATCAAATTTATTGACATAATAATGTGATTTTAGTAGAACCATTAGATCAACATCAAGTTTTAATGTTCGATGAGTCGTACATTTAATCTAAAGATCATAGTGAATTAGGTCAGCAAATTAGATCAACAAATTATATCTTAATAGCATTACTCTTAAAATAAAACTCAACTAAAATCAACCTCAGCTAAAATCAACGTACAATTATATTATTTAGTAGAATAAAAATAAAAAATAAAACAAAGGGCTAAGTCATTCATGAAAGAAAATGAATTTAATAACCAAAATTTATATTCTGTTATATCATTTATTGAAATAAGATCAAAAATAAATATCTAATTTTTTCTTAAAAAATCATAATTAGCATACTATTATACTGTCTATTAGAATAAAACTAAAAAATCAAATAAGTGATCAAACTGTAATGGATATAATATCTTCTAACTTTAATTGGGATAATTTGGTAGTTTAATTTGATCATTTAAACGACCAAATTAAATTTCAATAGATAGTATAATTATATACAAATTATGATTTTTTAATAAAAAAATAGATTTTTATTTTTGATTGTATTTCAATAAATGATACAATATAACATAAATTTTAGTTATAAAATTTCAAATATTTGATATTATATCTTTGATTAGAGTATTTTTGGTTCAAATATAACATTTTAAATTTGATGGGTTTAAGTATTGTACGTCGATAAACTTCAATGGGTCTGTATGTAATTTGCTAGCAGATATACAAATGAACATTGACGGTAGAGATCTAGGTGTTAAACGTATATAAACTTCAAGGTATCTGTATATAATATTTTAAATTTTAGAGGTCTAAGTTATTAAGTAACAAACATGATGGAGTCTGAATATTTTAAGATCCATTATAAATTTCTTTTAATAGGTTATAAATTTATATTTATAAAGTACTAGTAATACACAATGTATATTACACGTAAATAAATCTAAATAATATTTTTTTATAAAAAAATATGAATTATATGTATAATTAAATTAAATAATAAATTACGTGTCAAATAATTAATTTAAATTTTAATTATTGATTTATTCTATAAATTTTTGACTACCTAATTTTTTTTCATTTATTTAGGTATCTCTCCGACCTTTTTAGGCAATTGCATATCTAATTATATTATATAATTATTAATTTTTATTTTATTAAATAGATTGATTAGTTCGTTTATAATATTATTATATTATTATATACCAAAAACATAAAATATAACACACATTGGACATTGAAATTCAACCTAATAACTGCATGTGTATTATAATTTAATTGTAGAATTTAACTTAGTAACTACATGTGTACAATAATTTAAAATATTTTAGATATATATAATTTTATATAACTATACTACTAATAAATGAGTTCAAAAGAATTTAAAAGTCCATATAAATTAGATGAAAGTATATATGGGTGGTTATAATTGAATTTATTATAATAATTATAGATAAAATAAGAAATAAAAAAATAATTCAGATGCTGACATTTATAAATGGTTTAAATAATTTTATTTTTAAAAATCATAATTTTTATAATTAATTATAATATTTTAATATTTATCATACTTTTATAATTACTTATATCACAACATGTTATAATTCCACCTTAAAAATTTATAAATTTCGGTATGTAAACTTGGCCCACAGATGTGCAACAGGTGAGAGGGTTGGGTTAAAAATGGGTCATTAATGGTATGTCATTAATAAATGTACACAAGAACCTTAGTTAAAATCAACGTCCACGTGGCATTGAAGAAGACCCATCAATTCAGCTACTCTTGAGGTAATGTCTCAAAGTTCCCCCTTTTTTTTTTAAAGTGAAATCACACCATCTTAATTGATATTATTAGCGGTGCTTGTAAAATTATTATTAAACGGATTGAAAGTATGCGATGCCAAATCTTGCAGCCCATGTGAAAGGGTTGTGTCCACGTTCGACAAGGTCATTAAGAAATGATATTAAAGTCCCTATGGTATTGAAGACTCATGACTTCCCTCATAAACAATTCAATAACACCCCTGGGTGGATTGATAAAAATAAAATTAATTATATATAAATGAGTTCTTATTACTACAATGTGAGTAACTTACCAAAAAAAAAAATTAATAAAAAAATATCAAAGATTACATAAATCTGACAAGGCAATGCCACTTTGATGAAATAATGACTTAAAACGGCTTCTATTGTTTTTAGGTAACACAACTTTCGTTAACAATGAGTTTGAATGATTTTTCAATATCTTTCTCTTTGTCTCTCTCTCTAGGCTAAGATAAACGGATTCCATGTTTTTGGAAAAAAAAAAAAGAACTTTTATCTTATGTACATATATTTACGAATAAGTTTACGTTGAATTTTATTTGCAAGACTATGTAAGTTAGCATAAACATGAGCTATGATGTGGTATCTGATTCAAATAAATTCCATCACTTTACTATGCAATCGGATAAAGTTGTTTACAACTGCTTAAATGTTGG